ACACACACACACACACACACACACACACATATATATATATATATATATACTCTCACTTTAGAAGAACAATGTGTTAATTTAGAAAACAAAAAACATTGTACCAAATGTCTAGTTTTTTTTTTTTTTTCTTTTTGGTCTTTTTGAGACAGGATCTCCCTGTGGCCCCAGCTGTTCTGGAACTCACTATGTAGACCAGGCTGGCCTTGAACTCACAGAGATCTGCCTGCCTCTGCCTTCTGAGTGCTGGGATTAAAGGCATGTGCCACCATACCTGGAATGTCTAGTTTTAATGTAGGTGTCTCTTTAAAATCTGTTTTGGAAGCTAAGGCCCAATGTAATCCTCTTAAGAAGTTGAGACTTTAGTAAGTGACTAAGTCTTGCATGTTTTGCTCTCATGAATAGGAAGGACAAGGGCTTTCAAAATGTCTGGAGGATGAGCTAGGTTATTTTACCTTTCTACCTTCTGCCATGAAAGGGCACAGTAATAAGGTGACATCTTGGTAGCAGCAAGATGGCACACCAGATACCAATGCTGCCACCTTGAGCCTCAGTGTTTCAGCCTCCAGAATTGTAATAAATATTTGTTCTTTAAAAATGACATAGTAACAAATATTTTGTTATATAGCAGTATGGCTGAATGGGGATCTCAAGAATAGATATGAAAGTGGTCCCCTTGAAAGTAGGGGAGATCCAGGAAGTGAGAAGAAAGACTGTGAAGATGCAGGTCTGGAGGAGCCATGCTGGAGGAAAGCACGGCATGTTATATTCCAGGGAGAACTGGGACATTGGGTTTGTGCACATATTGAAAGCTGTTAGAATAAGAACCCATGGGGAAGTTCCTGATTTCACCATAAATGACTTTGTTGGAAGTTATCCCGATAGCTGTCTCTTTCTACAAGAAAAAGGAATGTTTTTATTCATTCTTCTGTTCCTAGATTTTGGTGCAGAGCTTGGGTTGTCAAACTTTCTCAGATCTGTAGTCCTCTATACTGTATGCCTTGGCCTGGGCTCTTGAGATCACTCCTTTTGCAGTGGTGCAGGGATATAAAATGTCATACACATTTGTGTGTAAGTTGTGTTATATCACACATAAATGACTGTTTATGAGCATGTCTATATTATATGAAATATCACTCAATTATTATTATTGTCTGCCATTTCCTCAGCCTGGCCTAGTTCTGGTTTCCTAATTTTTTAAATGTAGATTTTTTTTTTTAGTTTATCAGCATAGATCTTATACATATGTCAGCTCATTTTAGCTGAAGAGCACAAAGCCTTATCTGGTAGAACAACTTAGTAGTTTATTTGTAAAGGTCAGACTCATAACCTTTTCTTGACATTACACTGGCTCTCTTACCTTTTGATGTGCTTCTATACCCAGCTCTTCTTTTTTATCTAGTTCAGAGGTCACACTGTTCAATCTGCACCATGCTATCCCAATGTTATAATCTAGTGATTCATGTGTATAAATCCCAGCTTCCTAACATTAAATAAAAAACAATTTGGACTCATTAGGAAACACAAATGCCTTTTATGAAGTGACCAAAATGATGTTTTGCTCCTCCAAGATTGAAACCAGATAGACATCATTATGTATTTAGGAAAGAGCTTCCACAGGAGGCCTTCTCAGAGTCTCTAGAGCTCCTGGGTTGTGTCAATAGTTTGCACAGGCCTAGGCAATGCACAAGGGGGTCTGAAGGCTGCTGGAGGTCAAAGGCCCTACGGACTGCTCAGTTAGGATCAGCCATGGGCATCTCTGGTTTTCATCCTTTGCTTTAATTACTATTCCACATGGCCTCTTGAGACACACATAGTCATGCCTGTGTAATACCATAGGCAGGTTTGAAAACATATTGTATTACAAACATATTCTTCCTATTCTTTTAAACCTGCTTACCTTGAAATTCAGAAAGAAATGATAGACTACTTATGAGTGGCAAAGGCTAACATTTCCTACAAAACTGATTTGACAATATATCAACCTTTTAAAGAAAAATCGATTAAAAAATTCACATTAAGCTGCAGCCATGAAGCTTTTGCTACGCACTATTTATGGGTAGAGCGGGTGATGATGTAAAGAGGCAAGCTGATGTATGCTTGTTCATATTCAGGTAACTCTAACATACTCCAAACATCTTGCCAGTGCAGAAAAACATTCCAAGCAATAACAAAACTACCTCATCCCAAGACTTCCCAAGGCCCAGGCATACAACAATAATGAAAGCTAAAGATGCTACATAGCCCACTGTACCTTTCAGAGCTTCTGCTTCTCAGGCAACTGCAGTATGTCCACAAGGCAATAGTAAGTTTCCTTTGGGTTGCTGTTGTTTTGATAGTAAGTTTCATTTTGTTCTCATCTTCTTCAGGGTGCGCTACTGATGCAGTTCTTTGGGACTCTGCTGACTCCTGCTGGAACCTGGTCAGTCCAAGGCTGCTCTCACTTTGATTACCAAATGGGTCTGCACCACCTGTTAGTGGCTTCTCAGTAAGAAACAGCTTTCCTGTAGCACATTCTGCACAGCTGGACTCAGCGGAGTCTGGTGGCAAGTTCATTTGAGAACAGAGTTCATCATGAGTCTCACCAGTTAGGACTTTGGAATCTCTGCAGTGTATCACTGGTATTGCCTGGCATTTATCTTCACCATTTTTCAGACTGCTAGTTGCCTCTCTAGGGTTTCTTGTTTGCATGGGACAGTTAGAATTAACTATGCCTTCTTCGCCTTTTTGAGTAGTGACAGTTTGCTCTAACTCATCCATTTCTGAGCACATGACTGCCAGCTGTGTTCGATTTGCCTGGTTCTCTGTTTGGTTCCATCCTGCAGAGCTGTGGCTAATGCCATGAAGTGGACTCCCAGAAGCTAGGCTGCTGCAGAATGCAGGCCTGAGAGTTTGACTCTGTGTGTCCTTCCTTTCCAAAAGTTGCTGTGCGTGTTTGCCAATGAGTCACTACATAAAATAGCTTCATTAATGTCCCTGTCAGCCACATCACTCTGCACTTTCTCCTGGTCTTTCGCAACCCCAGCATATTGACTAAAGCAAAATCTATACCCAGGATTCTCTCTAGGTTCTGAATATCTGTTGGCCTCTTGAGATGGACTTAGTAAAGGAGTCTTCAGAACACTTTCACTGGTAGGGAAAGATAGAGAATTTGAGTTCGCACAGCCTTCTGCACATAGAGTTTTGTTGCCTTTGCAACTGATGTTGGCTGCTTTTTCTCCTATGAGGTTCATGGTTAGAAAAGATGAGGAACAAAAGCCAGAGCCTGAGCCTTTTGGAATGGGAATGATGCTGCTCACAGTACTTAGGGGACCATTTGTTCCTTCTATGCTTGGCTGTACATATGAACCTGATGTGACATTTTTCTTGACATCAGAGTTGCTTTTTCTCCTACTCTCCACATCCTTAGACTCCTCAAAAGATCTTTTACTTAAATCTGCATTATTTTAGCTTGTGATCCTTAAAGTCTCACATGTTGTAGGAAGATGACTGTCAGCTGTGAGGAAAATTTGCTTTTGGAGGTTGTCCTGAATAATTTTGTAGACCTTCTGCTGAGAGGTGGCAGATCCCCTCTCTTCAGAATCATCTAAGGCCGAAGGTGGTGTGTTGGGTTTATTTTTCTCTCTCTTGGGAGATGAGCTTAGAGAAACTACAATGGTGTCTGGATTCTCCTTCTGTACAATATTCACGATGTGAGGAGAGTCATGCAAACCATCTGAACTCTGGTTCTTGTTTTCAAGCCTGCAGTTTTCAGGGTGTTTGGTACCAGGCTGGGCAGCAGACCCTGCAGGTTCAGTATTGATATGATTCAAGGGACAATTTCTGTTTAGTTGATTTTCCCACCTTTTCAGGAGGTGATATATTAATGAATATGTTCTGGTTTTTACTCATGTATTCAATCTTAATTTCTTTTCCTACAATGTTTACATTCAGGGAGAGGGTCTTAGTTCTAGAAATTTCTCCTTTGCATGTAGAAAGCACCTTGGGTTTGAACTCTTCTGTCAATATTTTGCTGTATTTAAGGAAGTGGTTCCTAGATGTGGAGCGTCTCCTTATTTTCTTCACAGAAACACTCTGCTGACATGTTGGGCATCTCCTTTTTGTGGGAAACTGTGTTCCTGTTTCACAGGTTTTTGTGGTTTCTACTTGCACATTGAAAGCCCCACATTTGATTTCGGTAATACATTTGCCTTTTGCTGACTTAAAAGCTTCTAGTGTGCTTGGGAAATCCTGTATTGTAATTTTTCCTGATAATGATTTTTCACAGTCATTAAACCTAGCCACAGGTAAGACTTCCTCTAGCTGGCAAGAAACAGCCCAAGGAGGGTCATCATTTCCCATCCTCCTGGGTATTTTGCTGCCAGATAGAGGTTGTTTCTCATCTTTGGCAAGAAAGGAGGAACTCTGATTTCCATTTATAGATGTAGATATGTGCGTGTCTCCGTTTTCCTTAGATTTCCCTAATGCCCCAGCCTGGTGAAACATGGCCTCTGAAGCGTCTCCCTTGATTTTTTTTCAAAATCTTTTATATCTTTTGGGCATGTTTGACCAGACAGCTGAGATGCATCTAAAAAGAAAAGGAAAAAAAAAAGTTCTACGTCCACTTAGAGAGCAGATGTTCTAAATTGTAGGATGGAATGGAATGAATATAATTTGTAAGTATTTGTGTGACAGTTTCCATGCATTTCTTTGGAAGTTCATTCCAAATAAATGATTTATTCCAGACAGCTGAGATGCATCTAAAAAGAAAAGGAAAAAAAAAAGTTCTACGTCCACTTAGAGAGCAGATGTTCTAAATTGTAGGATGGAATGGAATGAATATAATTTGTAAGTATTTGTGTGACAGTTTCCATGCATTTCTTTGGAAGTTCATTCCAAATAAATGATTTATTCTAAATTAATTGCCTTAGATTACAGAATATTATCTGGTAGTTTCTTTTTAAAAATATTTTATTTTATTTTATTTTATGTGTATTCATGTATTGCCTGCATGTAGGTAAGTGCACCCGTGTCATGCAATGCCCATGGAGGA